TATTTGGACACTCCAGTCACATTTAAAAATGTTAGAAGGTCATCGTATCTGATAAAATTCCAAACCAGTTGGCATTTATTTACATTTAAAGTTTGTCAGTATAATTTGACAGGGAACATTCTCAGCACTTTGTATTACATTCTGGCAAGGTGAATAAACTTTCCTCCAGTAATGCTAATAGAATGTTCATTCAAAATAGGGCTGTCAAATCGATTAATCGTGATTAATCACATCCAAAATAAAAGTTTGTGTTTACATAATATATGTGTACTGTATATATTTGTATGTAAACATAAAAACACACATATACATGTATATATTTAAGATTATATATATATAAATTTACACTGTATATATATTCATATTTATACAGTATATGATTTGTTATATATAAATATATATTACATAATTAAATATACTTCAATACATGTGTATTTATATACATATAAATAAACAGTACACATACATATATTATGTAAATCGTGATTAATCGACACGACAGCCCTAATTCAAAGTTATCAGGTCTTTAATAACATTCCCAAATCGTTGACAAAAACGTCCGTTTGTGGAACATTTGACTAAAACATTTTAGTTTAACCATTCATCTGTTTTTTAAACATTACTACTTTCAGATGATTTCGACTCGAGAGCATCCAAAAGTAACATTCATTCATTAAATGAAAAAATGTTTTTTAAACGATTCAAAAATGTGACGTTTTAAATGTTCAGAGAACATTCAGAAATAATGTTTTAAAAACTTGAAGGGAATGTTATTAAAATATTCTAAAAACATATTTTTGTAAGATGGCTAATGATAGCAAATAAGCAAAAAAGCACAAGCATTTTCTTTTGAAACATTTTAATATTCATCCCCACCCCCCATAGTGAATACAAATGAGTTATATATAAATTCTTTCCATTCCTTATATTTTCTATGCTACAGTTACAGCGTGAACCATCACAAGTTGAAAACGTATAAGGGGAAGGAATGATCCATCCAAGACAAACATGCATCGATTACTGTGCACTACAACACAATAAATAGCTTACAAACGACTGTAAATCCAGTCAGAAAAGACATAATAGAAGTCAAACGTTAGTAAGTAGACAGATGGACAAATTTCATTCAGTCCAATAAGTGACTCCACCACTCCCAGTTTACTTTGACTGTGTCAGTATTTTCAGGGGTAAGTTAACATTCAGTAGTTTAGATGTCCACAGGACAAAGAGTCAGTGTGTCTTAGAACAGGATTCTGTTGATTCATATCATTCATTATAATCTATGGACTAAAGCCATAGTGAAGGTCATCTTGAGGGCCATAGAGAAAACAAAACAGGATTTAAGTATACAAGTAAATACATATTTACTCCTTTTAGTAAATGTAGATTAGTAACAATTTTGCACTTTGTTATAAACCATAGCAGGTGCAGATTGAGGTTGCTGAGGTTTTTAGTTGAGACATTAATTTAGAACATAAATACACAATATGAAAACAATTCAAATGGAAAATGAAATTAAATACTAGTAAAATCAATCTAGTTTCAAAAATAATTCTGTAAAAAAAATGAAATAAAACGAATAAATAAAAAAAGCAAACAAATATTTAAAAAGATGTCAAATGTTATTTTCTTGTATTAAACCAGATATTACCTGTTTGTTAGGTGGCTATAATGTAATAACCTTTTTATTTTTGCTACTTTGCACAATAAATGAAGGCACATTCCTGAAACATTTATGTACTTCTTGTTGTGAATCAAAATGATTCAGAATTTTAGACAGGTTACTAATGTAAAATGATCTGCTGTTGTTTAATTAAATGTTTTATTTTAAAAAACACGCTTTAAAATATTTAACTTTTTTGGGTGTGGTATATAACTGTATTGTGCTTGACAGGAAACATCTAGAAAAGTAGCAAAAAATGAACAACAACAAATCATTTCTATCTCAGAGACAGAAGCCAATGAAATTAATTCAAAATGCAAAGCTACATAATTGGAAAATGCATTAGAATTAGAATAAAAATACATTTCACACTAATTAAAAAAATGAAACTGTAAACAATAGTGTCTCAAATTAAGAAAAACATCTGCAAATACGTATTTGCTGTGTGTGTATGGATTTTTTGTAGATTGCTGGTCTTGAATAGCAGATTATTGTACTTCTGAGCATGATACCCTGTACAAGCACCAACTGATAATAGAAAAAATATCAGTGAAGAGTTTACAAAACTTCTCATTCGTATCAAAAGTGTCAAAGGTTGACCATTGAAAGATGTATCAATTGTAGAAACACACACACACAAAAAATGCAAATCCAAATGTTCAAATATTCAAAGAAATGGCCTGTTTTGAAATATCAAAACCCACTTTGCAAGAGGAATGTCTTCTTAATTTTCATAAAAAAAAAAAAACTCATGTTTTACTGAAAAACTCAGAACTGTCTTTAAAACAGAGCAAAATTATTTCCCTGAACTTTATCATACAACATTTAAAGACACAGTTACATTCTTTTCTAGTTCACTCATACAGAGAAATCTCTCTCTGTTATGCTACACTCTACAGAGGTAATACAAGAGTTAACCAGCATCACAATAAAGAGAAATCCAAACATACGTTTAACTACCATATTGTACCTCTGTAAAACCTTTACACAACACACCTCTGACAGGTGTGACATGAAGAAGAAACTCCTGTCCTAGTAGTTATGGGTAAAATATTGTCCTGTATGGATTTTTTGTAGATTGCTGGTCTTGAATAGCAGATTATTGTACTTCTGAGCATGATACCCTGTACAAGCACCAACTGATAATAGAAAAAATATTATCAGTGAAGAGTTTACAAAACTTCTCATTCGTATCAAAAGTGTCAAAGGTTGACCATTGAAAGATGTATCAATTGTAGAAACACACACACACAAAAAATGCAAATCCAAATGTTCAAATATTCAAAGAAATGGCCTGTTTTGAAATATCAAAACCCACTTTGCAAGAGGAATGTCTTCTTAATTTTCATAAAAAAAAAAAAACTCATGTTTTACTGAAAAACTCAGAACTGTCTTTAAAACAGAGCAAAATTATTTCCCTGAACTTTATCATACAACATTTAAAGACACAGTTACATTCTTTTCTAGTTCACTCATACAGAGAAATCTCTCTCTGTTATGCTACACTCTACAGAGGTAATACAAGAGTTAACCAGCATCACAATAAAGAGAAATCCAAACATACGTTTAACTACCATATTGTACCTCTGTAAAACCTTTACACAACACACCTCTGACAGGTGTGACATGAAGAAGAAACTCCTGTCCTAGTAGTTATGGGTAAAATATTGTCCTCAAACATTTCAAAAACTCATCAGAGGTGGAAGCTATCATCCTCAGGAGTCCGAGTATCTACGCTACCATGACAACTATCCTAGGATTCACATTAAGAATGGAAGACTTACATCACATGCACATCAAGTAAGCAAAATGTCCATTAAATTACAAAGTACTAATAAAAATTACACCTACAATTTACAACATTTCCTGTAGTCGGTACATATACATTTGTTTGATCTCCCTGCTTTATGTCATGCTTTTGTCAGGCAAGTTAGGAAGAACAGGAAGAACAGACTTGATGCTGAAGAGTTTTTTTGTCTTGTTAACCAAGCAACCGGTAAAAATGGGCACAATGAATCTGTGCCAGCGAAGGTGTCATGTCATGTCAGCAAACTGATTTGTGTATGAAGAAACACTTGCTTAAAAAAGCCTCTTTTTGGAGGGTCCAGGAAAACATACTGTAACTGCTCATGCACCAGTGGAAGGCATTGCAGTTTGTTAAGACAAAGTGAAAAGGCCTTTATACTGCAAAAATCATTTTCTTAATAATCATTTTTGTTTGCCCCTACAGTTATTTAGAAATTTTTTAAAAATATATTAAAATAGAAAACAGCTATTTTAAATAGTAATAATATTTCACAATATTACCATTTTTATTGTATATTTTTATCAAATAAATGCAACCTTGGTTAGACTTCTAAAAACATTTTTAAAAATCTTTACTGACTTACTGACCCAAACTTTTGAATGGTCTACCACACCTCATTACGAAAACGTACCTGTTGGAACTTTTTCGCAAGACACGAAATACGTAACAATAAGTACGTGTCACTGCAATTTCCAACAGAAATTAACACTAGAGACGGTAAAACATTGAGCACTTCTAACCGTTTTCGTACACAGTTATGATTACAGCTCCATATGGTTCGCTTTCCGAACGTAACAAGCTTGCTTGGTAGCTCAGCTGACACACAATTGGACTTAAGATGTGGAACCCTTGAGTATGAATCCCATCAAAAACATGACTCACAATAAAAGAGTTGAAAGATGAGAGATCGAGAATGAGAGAAAACAAGCTACAGTAAAACAGCATGATTGTGTTTTTACGTCACATTCGTTTTTGTTCATACAATCGGGTAGGTTTAGGTGTAGCGCAGATGGTATGTTATTTTAAAACGTCACGGAGCATTAGACTTATAGCGCCACTCAACAGACATTTCAAGTCAGAACTGCGGTGACACCTACAAAACCAATGTCACATAAAACGTACCATATGTACGTTCATCTGTTCTGGGGGAAAAAAACAAACACTCTTTTAGCGCCACTCAATGTCACGAAACGTACATGGTGGCACATATTTCGTGTCTTGCGAAAAAATTCCCAAAGGTATGTTTTCGTCATGAGATCAGGTTGCGAATGGTAGTGTATGTATATATGTAATAACTAATAAGCTAATTTTTTAAGAATATGTTGATCATTTTACTGTAAGAAAAAAATTAAGAAAATGGCATCTTGCAGTATATATGTCGTGACTAATCGTTTTCGTCATGAGATCAGGTTGCGAATGGTAGTGTATGTATATATGTAATAACTAATAAGCTAATTTTTAAGAATATGTTGATCATTTTACTGTAAGAAAAAAATTAAGAAAATGGCATCTTGCAGTATATATGTCGTGACTAATTCGAAACATTCTAAATCAGAACTTGGGAGATTTGTAAAATCAGAAGACATATCGCATAAAAAAATAAACCAGACCACAAAAAATGCTGGTGCATTTATCTGTAGGAAGAAGGTAGGGCAGAAACCTAAAGTGCTTTTTGTTGTATAAAGTTCTCGTATGTCATTCAGAAGAAACTACAGACATTTGTGTTGGAGTCCAACAGCATGTTTTAGAGTCAAAGTTGAGCTACTTCTGTATACACAAAAAAGGTCCTGCCTCCATGCAGACCAAGCATTGTTGGCAGCACATCATGAGCATTAGCATCATTAGCTCTTTCATTCTGATGCTACGCATTTACGAAGTCCGATTCGTCAACAAACGGAAGTGACAAAGGCTGTCTGACCATTTGGGTTGACATTATCTTATGACATATAAAACCTGTTTTTCTAAGAAAAACGTGGGCGGTCTGCACGCCAAAACGATACAATGCTGTCACAATGCACAGTAACAGAAAATGGGCGATGTGACTGGGATTCAGTAAAACAGCTCATCTGGAAAATGTGTTGGCGTTTGGGATCCGGGCAGGGGACGAGCGTGCTGCTGGTGAGCCTCTGAGAGTGGGCGTCCCTGGTGCCGGAGAGGGGCCAGGGGAACAGGAGTGTGTGGGGGTCCCAGGACCCGGAGAGTAAGGGTAAGGAGGGATATCAGGGCCGGGGAAGAAGGCTCTGTGGATGGGAGAAGAGGAAGGAGACAGATGGGGACTCGTCTGAAGAAGCCAGAGCAGCTCTTCATTGTTGCGGCTCAGCCGTTTCTTCTCGTTGGTCTCCTTCTCCACATACTCCTGAAGGTTTGCGTTCTCCTCAGACAGTTGTCTATAAATATAGGAAGAAATAGTCAGGGTTAGTCAAAAATCTGGCTATGCAAGTGACCTTAATTCACCCAAAAATGAGCATTTGCTTTAATTTACTAACCCTCAGGCCATCCAAGATGTAAATGAGTTTGTTTCTTCATTAGAACGGATTTGGAGAAATGTAGTATTAGATCACTTGCTCACTAATGGATCCTCTGCAGTGAATGGGTGCCGTCAGAATAAGAGTCCAAACAGCTGATAAACCATCCCAATAATCCAGATGTAATTCACACAACTCCATTCCATCAATTAACATATTGTGAAGTGAAAAGCAAAGTGTTTGTAGAAAACAAATCCATCATTAAGGTGTTTTAATTTGTTTTAATTTTCACTTCTGGCCAAAAAAATGAGTCCATAATCCATAATACTTCCTCCAAAAAAAAAAAGAAAAGCCCATGCCCTGTTGTCCACTCAATTTGTTTAGAACTGTTTTTCCTTGATCTGTGCATATTTCTCTCCTGATTCAGACCTGATTTCACTGGAAAAAGCCATATTATGGATAGAGGACTCATATTTTAGTATTTTGAATGATGGATTTGTTTCAAACAAACACTTAGCTTTTCACTTCACAAGATGTTTACTGGTGAACTGGAGTCATGTGGATTAGTTATGGATTATTGTGATGTTTTTATCAGCTGCTTGGACTCTCATTCTGACGGCACCCATTCACTGCAGAGGATCCATCCAAGTTACGTAATGCTAAATTTCTCCAAATCTGTTCCAATGAAGAAACAAACTCATCATGGATGGCCTGAGGATGAGTCAATTTTCAGCTAATTTTAAGTGAACTACTCCTTTAATTCAAATACTGTATTTACCTTGAGACTGTGAGATGGCGATCAATGCGGGCCATCAGGTCTTCATTCTGCTGCTGAAGCACCTGGACCCGCTCCTCCAGATACAGGTTCTTTTGGGCCTGCTCGAAGAATCAAGTGAACACAGAGCTCGACATTAAATTCTTACACAAACCTCCCCTGCCTGGACAACAGGGGTCTGAAACATGCTTCATGTGAGGAAAAAACAGAGAATTCATAAAAGCTGAAAGGAAAAGGGAAAAGCACGCCCTATTTCTACATCATAAATAATATAACATCCAAAGGAGCAGAAAGGAAAAAGTAAAACAAAACAAAAAAAGTTTTAAAGTGGAAACTGATTCAATATCCAAATCATAAATAATGTACTATAACATCACAATAAAATGGACTTTCTAAACACAGTACAGAATATATACAAACATACATCATATACATCACTCTTGAAGGACCCCAAGAGGTTTGTCATGCCTGTTCAGAAATGAATTCATCTCCTTCCTTTATTATTTATTATGGTGTGATCTTTTTGGATGTATTAAGGGTTTGTAAAGTACTTGTATACAATATCTTTTGTTATTTGAGCTTCAGTAAGGAATGTAATGTGGCATGTCACTATAAAATCAAATCGATATTTTATCATAGAAATGAATGATTATTTTACATCCTGCACTATAAATATTCCCTTGTATTTATAGTCTTTTTCTTTTATGCCGCAGTTTTTCTCTTACTTACATGATTTTCTTTTTTCCTGACACAATTTTTCATGTACAGTTTTTATATTATTTTTATATTTATTGTTTAATGTTTTCTTCTTTCTGCTAGTAGTTTTTTTATTTTTATTTGCACTGCTTTTTTCCACACACACACAGTATGGTGGGGATTTTTCATTTAATTTTGAATTGTATATTTATTTCGTAAAGACACCACTACTAACAATCAAATGCAATATTAAAAATAGAAATAGACAATTTTTTTATATCATGGTAGGGATTTTCCATTGAATTTTATATCTATTTCTTAATTGCAACCCCTTTTTTGCATTGCATTTGGATTATTTATGAATTTTAAACAAACCAGAACAAATCTTATAGTTCAAATAAAATAATGGAAGAATTGTTACACTATTTACTTCAAATTCACAATGCATGGATTACAAAGGATGTATAGATTAGATACACCAAGACAGCTGAGGCCCTCATGGAAGTTACACTATCAATTATCATGCTATATAGATAAAAAGTCAAGGATTTTGCATATAGAATTTATTGTTTGATAACTTTATTCAATTTCTGTATATTTCCTACTTGCAGAAGGGCACGGGTAAATATGACATTTATTATAATGGGTTTATGTGAAGATTGCTTTAAGTTTAATTAAATTAAATGTTTTTAAAATTGATAGCTCTCAATTATACTGTAATGTTGAATGGCTAGAGTCAATGGGTAAATATTCAGGAAAAAAACAATGTCCTAGAGACATCAGTAGTATTGGTATCAGTGATACTCGCCTTCAGTCATACAAAAAGATTAAACATATTAAAAATATACTGTCGTTATGTTGTTTCTACATTAACTTAAAGAATGAATGTGAAACTATTGCAGTATTTTTTTTAAACTTTAGTGTTAAGTGGGATTAATTCGTTATTTTTTAATCGATTGACAGCACTAATTTTTATTCATTACGTTGACTCAAGACAATCCAGTCCACCACACACATACACATACACATACACAAACCAACCACCAGCCTTCTAGAGTGTCTTAATCTTTAGCCTGAGAATCAGTCTCTATGACAACAAATAGAAAATTAGCTTTTTCAGGTAGCAAGGTGGGCAAAACTGATGTTAGGTAGTCAATTCCCTGCTCATCAGAAAGACAACGACAACAAGAGGGCAAGATGCATTCTGAAGCCTCCTAGCACTGTATGTTTAAATTTTTCTAGACACCTAACATTTTCTTTTAATGTCCTTCAGGAGAACTCAAGCTTTAATGAGGGTGTCTGACCCCCTAAAACCCATAATTTGCACCCTAGGGCGGTAGATTGGGCAACTGAATACTGAGTATTATTTCAATTAATTCAACATGACAACTGAACTTGGCCCTAGTGGCCACACTGATTACGTCTTATAAGAAGTTCTCACTCATTCTATTTTTGTGTGTGTACAGAGAGAAAAATAAAGTGGGTTACAGTGGAGATATGAGCTTCAGATGAGATTTATCCAACAGTGCGACATCATCTAATGGAGAGCAGCAGGGGACAGCTATGAAAGGAAAGCAATATCTTGGGTTGATCTTTGTTCTGGTTGGTTACCTGGAGACTGCGGTTTAGGAGACACTACAGCGAGTCTCTTAGGGGAGGAGAGAGATGAACGGGTGCCGTCAGAACTCTTCTGGAATTCCTTACGGGATGCTATGGATAAAGAAAAGACATCGGTACAAGAGTTAAGGGCAGTGCTCAGGAGGTTACCTGAATTAAACGATATTCGCTCAGGGAACACATACAGGGCACAGGAGTGCAAATCCATGAATGCATTCACAACAGTAACCACCACCCCCTTTTCCTTCTCTTTTTGTATCGCTCTCCTCTTCCACAGAGTCATAATATGGTCTCAGCGGTCCGTGGATCAATTCCAATAAGAGGCAGCCAACCACAAAATAACGCAGCTGCTAGGGTCCGCTTGCCACACGGGCTGGATGATATGACATTCTGAGAGGCTGCAGGCATCCGTGGACCAGAGCATACAGCATAAATATATATATATAATAATAAAAAAAATTATAATAAAAAAATAACTTCTATCTCACAAATCTCAGATCTGTGGTCAGAGCAGGACAATAGAAAAGAGAATAGTTCTAGAAATAACCCTGATGTACATAATAATATAAAATGGAGAAATATTACTATATTTACACTGTAAATTAAATTTTTTAACTTAATTTGAAAAAATCTTGCAAAATTATTGCCTCAGAAAAATCTAGTTAATGTTATGTTGGTATATTCAATAGTTCATAAATTGGTTTCTTAGTAAACTTGAATATATTGCACAACCTTAACTAGATTTTTCTGAGGCAATCATTTTGCAAGATTTTTTCAAGTAATGTTAACATTGAAATTTAATATAATAAATAAATTGTAATATATGCACATGCTCTCTCTCTCTCTCTCTCTCTCTCTCTATATATATATATATATATCTATATATATATATATACAATACATATAAATTTCTATTCATCAATGAATCCTGAAAAAAATTATAATGTTTGATCAGTGTTTTTTTATATATATAATTTAATCTGAACTTAATTAAAATGTTTTAATTTAATTCTCAGTATCTCCCCTATAATACCCCATTGCTAAAGCATACCTTATTAAATTATTCAAGCACAGGGGCTTATGGGTATTCCCACTTTATGATCACTTAATGTAGCCTGATCTGGTTATTTATTTTATTTTTACAGTAATTTGTTGTGTTATGACAGAAAGTGCACTAACAGACACAGCTTTTACAATACAAGTATACATATTGTATATATCCTCATAACAAATGAATTACTATTATTATTATTTTACCATCTCTGTAATATCACCCGAACAGATATGAAGACACAGACGCTGCCTATGGGATTACAGGAAATGATTGAAGATGCTGCTGGGATTGGAGCTTGTTTCAAATCTCCCATCTCACAACAGAAGGGGGTGCGTATGTTTTTGGGGTTGCTGCTTTTGGCTTACCTTCACCCAACAGAGCGCACACACAAACATCACATTGCAACAGGGGTCCCAGGGCACCTAATTACTGCCAGCTCATTTCGACATGTAGCAGACAGCCATAGACACCCCTCTAGAATCCCAATGGACTCCCTCCTCCCTAGGACCCCAATGTCGCCCCCATGCTGAGACAGCACCTACGGCATCAAAAACACCAGTGCATCATGGGTGGGTGCATGCATGTGAAGATGTTTGACTCAAGTATGGCGGTCTAAAGCCACTGTGTTATAAATTTATAAATTTCCTTAGATCCATGCGAGTAATTTGACAGCTGGACAGGGTCTCTGAACTGTTTTTCAACAGCAGGGTCTCATGAATTTTGTCATTGTGCTAACCCTAGATCGGTAGTCCATGATGGGCCAGCTGCCCCTGGCAGCCGTTTTGTCCCTCCAGGGTGCTGGAGATTTTGTCAGGATGACAAAGAGGGGAGCAGCAAGCAAAGATATAAACTCTCAGAGCTGTGGTTAAGGATCAGCAAATGTGGCATTGAAAATAGGACAGAACAGATAACAACACTAGAGAGGGGGACAGGTAAAAAAAAAAGAAAAAAAAAGCGAAGGATGAGGAGGAAAGAAGATAAACAGGGCATCTTAATAGCCTCATTATCCTTTAGGCAGGGGGAAAATTATTGGTTAAATGGGCACAGACGAGCTCTGATTGGACAGGCTCTTCTGTAATGTCACCAACATGCACAATGGTTCATCACTTGCTTTAATCGGATGATTGCTTCTTAATGATCGGCCTAATTGAGCGGAGATAAATAAGCGATTTTAAGCAAGTGTATGAAATTCAGCTAGTATGCACTGTAATGAGTATTTACTACAAGAATTATGCTTTAAACAAGATAAATTCCACAAGAATGCACTACAGCTAGAGTGATATTTAACCTACAACAATCATGTTTAAACAAATATGCACTACAAAAGGTTTGCACTACTAGAAGTATTTTTTTTCAACTAGTATGCATTACAAAAATATGTACAGTAGCTAGCATACACCATAATAATTAGCTAGATTACATTACACGTCTCTCCAGTAAGCATGCACTACAATATGTATCCACCCCAAGTGCGCACTATAAAACATTTGGACTTCAGCTAGTATGTAATTCAATAATAATGCACAATGAGTATGAAATTGAACTAGCATTAGCATATTCATCCAGCATGTACTTCTATGAGTATGTGCTACAAGAAGTATGCTTTAAACAAGTCCAGTAGAAAACACTTCAACTACTGTGATCTTTAACCAGTATTACAACATGCATGTGTTTCAACAAGTACATATAAAAGGTATACACTACTATAAGTATGCACTTCAAATAGTATGCACTATAAAAAGTATGTGCTTCAATAAGTGTGCACAACACACAAAGTAGACAAGCCTCTTTCACGGTGCTGGTCTTAAGATGTATGAGTCTGGATGGCCTACTTCCAGAGAAAGGGTGTTTCTTCTCAAGGTAAAGTCTACATTTCAGTCTTGACTAAACATAGGCTACAACATTCCTCCAACAGGACTGTCCCATTATTCACACACGCAGAGGAGATTAATGACTAGGTAGAGGACATGGACAGGGAGGTAGTGCTGTTTGCTTATGCCTGACAAGTACGCTCTCAGCTGTGTGTCGGTGCATCAGTTGAGGTCTGCCTTCAAACTGGAGCCGCTGTCTGAGAATTCATAATGACATTTGACAGGTCACTTCTGGCACTAGAGAAAGCATGCAACCTCTGTATTTCGGTGCGCTAATTGTAGTGCATTCTGTTGGAATGAATCATGTTTAGAGCATACTTCTTGTAGTGCATACTCACTGAAATGCATGCTAGCAGAATTTCATATCCATTATAGCGCATTCCTGAACTACATACTGGCATACTAAGTCCATTCATGTGCATACTTATCAGAAAGCAACATGTAAATTGAAACTAGTCCATTCTTATAGTGTACACTAGCTGAAGTACATATTTGTGTTTATATACTAGCTGAAACAAATACTTCTAGTAACACAAGCTTCTTGTAGTACTGGTTGAAGATCACATTGTATTCTAATGCAATTAGTTTTGCTTAGGGCACACTTCTTGTAGTGCATACTTGTTGAAGTGCATACTGGCTGGAAATATGAAGGTTTGGTCCACTTACCCACGGGGGAGCTTCGAGGAGGGGGCAACAGGGAGCGGCGTATGGGTGCAGGGGTGTTGGGGGGTTGAGGGGTGCTACGGCACGGTGCTCTGGATCCATCTCCAGGAGGTGACGTGGTGACACGGTGAAGCGGTGGCGGCTCATCACTTACACTGTTGGGACCTGAAAATAACCCAAAAAGAGCCAAACTTGATTACCAAAAATACAGCATATCCACACAAATCAATGTTATTTCGCTTTGAAAATCTCTGAAAGTGGACTTTTATGTTCGTCAGTTGAATTGCATTTAATTCATTGTGCATTACACAGTAGTCTAGACACTGAATACTGCAGGTCATTGTCTAGTTCCCTGATTTACTGTGAATGCTTAATCAGACTGCGCTCATCTCCCTTGGTTTCTATCTGAGTACATTATTCATCATCTGTGGTGGATGAGAATTCATCTAACTGCTCATTAACCCCACAACTGAACCCAGACCAGCCGTTCATCAGTCTTGATCAATAACCGCAGCCCGGCTCGATAAGATCAAACTCTGCAATAAAATGAGAATTTCTTGCCATGTAAAAGAAAAATCCCAAGGCATAGCATCTATTCAGCGAGCCATAACCGATTTCACAAATCACACAGGTACTTTTATATAACGGGTCCTTTGAAAGACACTTTCCTCTCTACTTTAGCTTACTTTCAGACTGTAAGGTGACACCATTCTCGGGAGCCTGTATAGAATGCTGCTCTGCCGCTGTTATCGCTCTGATTTATGAAGTGCTGAGAGAGGATTCCACGAACAGAAAAGAGCAGACAGATGCAGAAATGCTGACAGTACACTGTCATAAGTGCTTTTAAATACCATATTTTATAACTCCCATATAACCTAAGGAGACATTTGGAGACAGCAGCCAACAACTGCCATTAATCTTATTCTCATTTGTGGTAAGACTATACTGCGGTAAATGCAGTTTGAGGGTGATCTGATAAGGGTAAAGATCTGGGATGAAGTTTTGGCTGCAGAGATGGAGCTTCGGAAACAGTAGGAAGTGCTATGCAGCCCTCCAGCTCTCGCAGCAGGAGATGTTAAGGTGCAGAGCAGCTGAGAGATGCGTTTGATTGGCTGCTGGGAAATAAACCTCACTGCTCATTGGTGGATTATTTTCCAAATCTCTGTGAGAACCAGTTAACTGCCTGCATTGTGTGGAACTGGGTTAGTAGCACAGAGACTCAATCCTTAAGATTTTTTCCAGTTTCATCAGCACTCCAGATTTACATAATCAACCAAATGATGGGAGCATTACACTTGTGTGGGTTGGATTACATTGCGCACCTAAAATATCTACAGTTAAAAGTCTGTAGAAAGCGTCACATTTTATGTATCACTTTAATGAACAAGATATAAAATTTGGTTTTAAATTTAGTAATAAAAAATTAATTAATTAATTAAAATAAATATGAAAAAACAATAAAACCTTTAAAATATATTTATCTCATTTATCATGTATTGTCCTTTTCTGCAAATGACCAGAAAACAGGTCTGTAAATCTTGCAACTCTACTACAAAATTTGGAAAAAATTATGCGATTTTGTTATTTTTCAGAAATGAGCATTAAATAAACATTATATTTAAATGAAATAACATTGCTTGCATACAAAAATAAATAAATAACTAAATAAAATTAATAAAATAAATTAAAAATAACAGGTAGCCAAATTTAGCCTAAAATAATTGTTTATATGTCCTATAAATTACAAATAAAATAAAATAAAATACATTAAAATCTCTCAATAACTTTGGTAACATGTCTGAGTTTGATAAATGCAGTAAACAGTAAAACAAATGTTTTATTTAAATTTAGAAATACATTCTCTGAATGTTTAAAATTCTGTCTGTGACAAATAACTGGCAGTACATTGTAGTGACAGCATTACAGGATTTACATTCTGATTTACGACGCTAAGGGATTTAGCTTATGTCTCTCTCTCTCTGGTTCACTGAACTTTTCAGTTCACACATGCGAAAGACTTTTTGCATACTGCACCCAACTATTATCTGCAGGTGTGCTTATATCATTATGCGTTTTTAGTTTTGACTAATATGTTTTTAATTAAGGGAAATCTCAAATGAATTTGATTTAAATGTTTGTTTACTTTAGCAAAAAATACAATTGGCCAGTAAACACAGGCAAACATGGAATAAATGTTTTTAGTTTTTAGTCATTAATTTTTCTTAAAAAAGAAATACAAGCTTTATAAAATAAAAACCCAAACACACTGTACACACACAGATTTAAGGCCCAGGAAATACAGTGAAGCGATTCACACATGCTGAATTTAAAATGCTGCTGACATTTGGATCATAATGAAGACAAATTCTCAGGCAACATGAGTAATAAAAAAAATACAATTCAGTTTGAGCTGAATAATTTATCATACAATGCACCAGAAGAGAATGCAAAAATAATAGGAGACTAATTTAATGCAGTGCTGGTGTGGAAAAAATTAGCTTGTGAGGCAGGCAGAACCAAACAATCAGCATTTCTTCTTTGGTCTTCTGGACAGTAGAGACATATGTAATGTGACAGGACAAGAAAGCAAAGAAAGTATTTTAGAGATGGAGGAAAACATTATGTCGGTAAGGAGGAGAGGATAGGAATGCACCCCACGTTGGGCGCCACTATTAGAGAAATAAATGATAGGCTGGGGAGGAGATAAAAGAAGGGCTAGTTGTTTAAATCACTGCTGACAAGACCACTAGAGAGAAAAGGAGAGAGAGAGACAGAAATAGAAGTGAAAATAGAAAGCAAAGGGATGCAAGCAGAATGACAATATCTGGGAGACAGGAGCTCACCTCAAGCATAAGGATTGGAATGGCTTATAAAATGACAGAGGAAATGTTATGGGAGCAGATGTTATTCCAGCACAGAAGGTTATTTCCCATCTAGCAACATTTAGATGGCACAGAGAAAGAATCAGAATGAAAAATCAGGCCCGGTGAACACAGCAGTGACCCATTAAGTGATGGAGCTTGCAATGCATTATTAAGCACAGAGCATCAGACGTGCTCCTGAGGATGTCGGGAAGTAAACATTATGCAAATCCAACTCACAGCCACATGTCAGGATGGCTGCCACTTCAGTAATAATACCATAAGGACCTGAGAAATACTGACTCACTGCACAGCACTGCTTGCACAAAGTGGACAGATGGACCAAAAAAAACAAAACAAAGTTTTTTTTTTAATAGTGTGCACTAAAACATTTAGAAATTATGCAATGTGGACTAGGTAGTGTACTATACCTACAGTAGTAGAGTACTAGCACAAAAAGTCGTGTGCAGTAGGACATTAGGTTGTGTGCACTGTATTGTAATATGGTGTGAATGTACAAAGTATTGTGTACTAAAACACTAGCATATTAAGTAGTGTGCTATACATACTTACATAGCACAGCACTAGTACAAAAGTAGTGTGCAGCAGGGCATTAGGTAGTGTGCACTAGATAATTAAAAAGAGTAAGAAATCACAAACTTACGTGCAGTATGCACTAGATAGTGTGATACAAAACTAGTACATTACAGTATTAGTTTTGTAGTAAAGTACTGAAGTAAGTATTGAACACGAAAACTCTATACAAAACTCTAATAGTATAGTGTGCACTAGTAGCGTAGTTCACAAACTTGTTTCCATTACAAAAGTACCATTATGATGTAGTGTGCACTAGATAGTTTACTACAAGTACCAGTACACTAGGTGGTGCACACAGGAAATTGCATAATCTGCACTAAGTACTGTAGTACAGTGTGAATGCACTAACTATTGTGCACTAAAACAAGAATATTAGTGTGCTCTATGTAATACAATACTAATACACAAAATGTAGTGTGCACTAGGTATTATAATGTGCACTAGGTAGCATAGTGTTCACAAACTTGTTTGCATTAAAAAAGTACCATTGTGATGTAGTGTGCACTAGTGTACTACAAGTACTAGTACACTGTGTGGTGTGCACACAGGAAATTACATAATGTGCACTAATTGTTTTAGAACATTGTGAATGCACAAAGTATTGTGCACTAAAACACAAGCATATTAGGTAGTGTGCTCTGTGTAATACAGTACTAATACACAAAATGTAGTGTGCACTAGGTAGCGTAATTTTCACAAAGTTGTTTGCATTAAAAAGTACCATTATTATGTAGTGTGTACTAGATAGTGTACTACACGTACTAGTAAACTGGGTAGTGTGCACACAAGAAATTACATGATGTGCATATAAAGTACTGTAGTACAGTGCAAATGCACAAAGTATTGTGCACTAAAACACAAGCATATTGGGTAGTGTGATCTACGTAATACAGTATTAATTCACAAAATGTAGTGTGCACTAGGTAGTGTAGTGTTCACAAGGCATAACAAGACAATGTAATGTGCACTAAGTAGTGTAGTATGGTGTGAGTGCACAAAGTATTGTGCACTAAAACACAAGCATATTAAGTAGTGTGCTCTATGTAGTAGAGTACTAGTTAAAAAAGTAGCATGCAGTAGGACATCAGGTAGTGTGCACTAGGTAGTGCAGTACTAAATCACAAAGTGGTGTGCACTAATATGCTAATATGCCACATTACGCAGAGTGCATTAGAAAGTGTAGTACAAAATTTTACACATGGTAGTGTGCACTAGAACATTAGGACACTATTGTGCACTAGGCAGTGTGTTCTATATAGTACAGTACTAGTACAAAAAAATAGTGTGCGATACAACATTAGGTAGGGTGCACGATGTAGCATAATGCAGTATGAAATCACAAAGTGGCAATAAAACAATGTCATAGGAAGTGTGCACTAGATGTTGAGTAGTACTAGTAGAACTAGTACACAGGGAAGTTTGCACAAAAATACAGGCACAATAGTATTGAACCTTTTTCAGGACAAAAAAAAAGTAAATTAAACCATAACTGGTCAACATTTTGCCATCTAACTAGGCAGTGTGCACTATTGTTTGGGTTTTAACTTTATATTTTTTACCACTGATATACTCTGAGAAGCTACTTTTTACATACCAGGCTGACCACAATACACACTATTGAAGGTTAATGTATTAAATTAAGAAATAGAGCCAAAATGGAGGTACTGGAATAGCAGAAGATACAGCACTAAACAGCCTGGCAGCATT